AAAGTGAGCTGATGGCTATGAACACCTGTTGAACATTTCCACTTTTCTGTCCTTTGGGAGTCACAAATTCAACATGTCCAAGTGGAATGAATCATCTTTCCACCAAACCTCTTTCTCTTCTTGACCTCTCTAGCTGTGTGGTTGGCACTGATTATTCTCTTAGTCACCCTGGCTGAAAACCTCAGCCATTTTTGTCTCTTCCTCTGACTCTTTACATAGTAAGTTTCACCTTTAGAAAATTCTAAAAATCCACAAAAAACATCAGGTAGGAGACAGTCATTGATAATGAAACTATTTGGATGTTGCATCATCCTGGTCATATTTTTATGTAAGTATAGATTTAATTTCCTTTATACATGCATCATACTCTACATTTGTAGAGTAACCTTTTATTGAAATTTAATAACCATGCAGAAATGTACCAATTATAAATCAATAACGTCTCATGTCACTAAATATTCTTTTGCAACATCAATTTTAAAAGACTGGAAAGTATTCCAACCATAGACATACTCCAATTTAGTAAACTAATCCCTTTTGTAAAATTTCTGGCTTTTTTTTCTAGTCTCCTTATCTCTCCTTAGAAATGCTGCAGTGATGAATTTACCTATATTTAACATTTTTGTGCTCACTTCCAATTTTCTTTAGAATCAAATTCTTGGGAGAATTTCTGAGTCAAGGTTATGTGCGTCCTTAAAAATAAACTTAATTTTAGAATAGTTTCAGATTTAGAGGAAAATTATGAAGATACTACAGACAGTGTCTCTATAGTCCACAATCGGCTTCTCCTATGATTCACACCTTACTCTAGGATAAAATGTTTGTCACGGTTCATAACCAATACGAGTACATTATTATTAATGGAAGTTTATACTTTATCCAGATTTCTTTAGTTTTTACTAATGTCCTTTTTCTATTTGAGTAGCCCACCTAGGATAACATTACATTTAGTTCCCTTGTCTTCTTAGAATCCTCCCGACTGTGACAGCTTCTTAGGCTTTCTTCATCATTGATGACCTTAACAATTTTGAGAAATACTGGTCAGGCATTCTATAAAGCGTCCCTCAATTTGGGTTTGTCTGATTTTTTTTTTCTTTTGATTAGACTGGGGTTATGGGTTTTGGAAGGAAAGTACCATAAAGTGCCATTCTCGTCATATATCAAGTCCACACTCTGTCAACATGACTTTTCACTGCTGATGTTGACCTTGATTACTTGACTGAAGTAGTGTTTGACAGGTTTCTCACAATAAGTTTCACCTAGAGAAAATTCTGAAAGTCCACCAAAACAACAGGTAGGATATAGTTGCTTATAATGAAACCATTTTGGAGGCTGTTTGTTGCTATCATTCTGGTCATATATCTATTAAGATTAAGATTATACAGAAACCATCTGTAGTATCTTCAAATTTTCCTCTAAAGTTACTCATTATCCCCAACCTGCTCAGACTACACCATTTGGAAGGCAGTCACTAGGCACCGCCCACACTAAACGAGTGGGGACTTACACTCCAGGGTACAGTGTCTACATACATTATTTGGGATTCCTCTGTGGAGGATTTACTGCTTCTTCCCCATTTGTTACTCAGTAACTTATATCAATTTTATATTAATCTATTCAGTCACATATTAGTTTTATATATATAAATATATATATTTATTTATTTATTTTTTGAGTTGGAGTCTCACTCTGTCGCCCAGACTG